TGGAATTAGAAAAAATAATGTCTAATGGATACAGATACTTCTGGAGGCTCTTTGACATCACCAGGGCTATCAACCCCTGAAGGGCTTAGATCTGGAATCCACTGAAGATGTTTGAATAGACTTAGATTTAGATACTACTCCATATTCTTCTGACCCTTGACAGACTGTTGTGTCTAAAGAAGGCAGTGAGGAGAGCTGAAGAATGTGTTTGCAAATGGAACAGCATCTTTCCCATCCTTGTTTTACAGTGAAGATCCATAAAGAGGAATGGTCCTTCCAGCCTGTTGTGTGCTTAAAAATGCAACATTTCCAGTAATGATACCCCCTTTCCATCCTCCCTCTGTCCTTGACACTCTGTTTGGATCCTGGCTGCTGGGTCTGAACACACTCCTGCTTTCACTTTATTTAACACTGGAGGATTTCATCGTTGTTGATACGAAAGGAAAATTTGTAGCAGCACACTGTAAGCTTTACTGCTCGTGACTTCTTAATCACGCAGATTTTATTTCATGTTAAGCTAGCAACTGAACTCTTCTAATAAACAGAGTAAAAATCTAATTAGGCTACTGGAGGGGAATAGAAGAATTTATCCTCCTCCAGACACACAGACATTAGGAATTCTCCCTCAAACATACACACAGGCTTCCTGGCAGCTGCCTCACTCAAAGAGTGGCTAATGATCATAGTAATTTGCACTTAGCTGATACTGCTACGAGTCCCTCACACATGGAAAATATACTTCTTTCATGAGATCATCCAGGGCAGCATGGCCTCGTGGATTCTGCACAGAGAAAAAGAAATCCCAATTCCTAATCCCATGGCTCACACTACTTGCTGTGTGGTCTCTCCCTCTCAGTTTCTCCGTCTCTCTTATCCGGCTCATTCATGGGATTGTGGTGATTACTCCAGCATTTGTCTGTAATGTGTTTCAAAAGCAGAGACACAATTAAAGTGCAGGAGCTGTGCTGTGATTAGAGACTCAACAGCACCTCCAAAACACTTGTAGAGAAGATTGACATCCAAGATGAATTTGGCTGATTTTTTTATCTTCACTGGGCTCATAATAACTTCAAGTATTGCTGTTGAGAAAGAGCTCCAAAGCCATCCGGCCTTGGGGGAAGTCGACCCCATGTGAGGGGGCCCATCTTCCCACACAGAGGCCATACAGCCAAAGTACACCCAGCATGTCAGGGACATCTCCATGCACACAATCTTTCCTGGCCTGCACACCCATGGTCCATCCAAAGAGGTGATGCTCCCCAGGGACGTGGTGGAGCCACCATCCACCCCTGGAAGTATTCAAAAAAGGAGTGGATGTGGCACTTTGTGATATGATTTAGTGGACGTGGTGGTATTGGATTTTATGATCTTGGAGGTCTTTTCCAACCTTAATTAGTCGATGATTTTATGATACCATCTTAAGTTTTTACCCCTTACAACCAAAAGCAGCTGATCCAGCCGATGGGTTCAGGCTTGGCCTCTCTGCTGATTTAGATTGGGATTGATGTATTGTGCAAGTGGCAGGGAGTCCTCCAGCAAATTTCCTCATTGTTCCCTGCAAAGGACAGCCCAGATGTCCCACAGAAGCCCCAACTTGACATTGGGAACTATGAGATGTGTGTCCAGAATTGGCTGTGCAAGTGTGGACACCATGGAGGCTCCAGGTAACCCAAGGCAACCCTCACTGGGAATTGGTGCTTGAGGATTTTCCCTGTGCCTGAATGTTTTCATTCAGCAGTGGGGTTTTTTTCAGCTGTAATAAAAATAAGAGCTGTAATTCCCTTTTCCAAGACTGTTTAGCTCTTTCTATGTTGCTTGTCAGGGTTGTTCCTATAAAACCATCAATCATTTCTTTGGTTTGAATGAAATGTAGGGAGACAATATAGGAGTAAATGTTAAAATAAGACCAGAATAAAAGCTGGGAGTTGTTTATAAGCAAACAGAATCATAGAATTATAGAATCAGGGGATGGCTTGGGTTGGAAGGGACCTTAAAGCTCACCTCATTCCACTCCCCCTGCCATGGGCAGGGGCATCTTCCACTAGAGCAGTTTGCTCAGAGTCCCATCCAACCTGACCTTGAAAACTTCTAGGAATGGGGCATCCACATTCTCTGGGCAATAAAACAGGACCTAACCCAGCCTCTGGAAACCTCAGAAAACATCTTTCTACTGAGCACAGTAGGCCAGGGTGCCAACAGCTCTGGCCCCTGGAGATATAACTGGTCCAGGAGGGATTCAGGTCCCGCTGAGAACAGGTTTGTTCAGGGAAGGGTGTAGCCCCAGGAGTGGGAGGAGAAGACTGCCTCCTCCTATTTCAGATTTTTGAAAACCGTGACCACAAAAGAAACCAAAATACAAAAAATTCCAAAAAACAGTGACCCTGCAGTGGGCTGAAGCTGATGTGTCTTTTTATAATACAATGAGTTTTTGTGAAATGGAGTCACTGGCCTGAAACCTGGAGGCATCGCTTAGTTTTAACTTCTGCTTTATGCAGGCAGAACTCCAGCTGATGTGAGAGAGCATTGGGTCATATTAGGATTTGGCCCACAAGGGCGGAGGAGAGCCAAGCTCAGAATGTCACATAAACATATTAACTAGAGACTTGGCTTTCTCCAAGATCCCAGGCATGGAATAGGGCTGAGATTTAGTCTTCTGCAAGGCATATAAGGAGGTTAAATTTGTCCTGAGTAAAGCATTAAGAGAACAGGATCCAAACATCTGCACAACCATCTGTATCATCTCTTCCTCCTCCCAGAGATGTCTGGAATATAGTTTGGTTTGTGTGACAGGTAGAAACTGAGCTAAAAGCCGCTTAACCTGTTCTGTGTGGGTGAAAAATAATTTAAAAATTAAACCATAGGCTGCTCATGCTGAAGTCGAAAGCGTGTTCTCCCTGGTGCTGAGGTATGAAGGGGGCATATTGTTCATTTAAACCACACTCTATAGTTTCTGCAGCAGCAAAGTATTTTTGAAAGTTTACAGCTGTAGTAGAAATTCCCTGGAGCTTATCCTTCAGTTTTCTGCCAGTCAAAAAGCTGAAGGCACTCTGGTTTGGGCTCCAAAAGTGACATTTTAGTGTTACACGTCTTAAATGTGGAGCGGTTTCGCGAGAGCATCCTGACAGGTTTTGAACTCCCAAGAAATAGTTTTCTGGTGCCAAGCTACACAGTCTGGGAAAGGCTGCACGCCACTCTCACTCCCTGCAGCTCTGCCAGAACCCAAAATATAGTAAAAAAAAAAAGAATAAGAAATATGGCTCAGGACTATGGTTTGTGGGTGCATTTCAAGCAGGAGCTTTCTCTAACATTTAATGTATTAACTGCTCTCTGAGCCATAAGAAGTTGGTATAAGGGGAGGTCCATGTACAAGTATATCATGTAGTGACACCATGGAGAAAGGGAGAGACAGGGCAGGAAAGAGAATTGACCAAAAAAACATCTACAGTGTGGAGGAAATGGTAAAACTTGGGCCAATCCACCGTAAGCCCATTAACTTTATAAATTTAAAAGTGACTTTGCAGTGGTTTCTCAAAGGGAAAACATGGGCATCTGAGAAGGTGTGGATGCTAAAGCATTGATGTGGGACCCATATTTCAGGGAACAAGAATACATCAGTATGCCATGACTGTCTCCACAAAATGGTCTAAAGGAAGAGATTGAAGGAAGTCTAAAATTATTGGTAAAAAAAAAAAGAGAATGGTTATGAGATGGAAAAAATACATTTGACTTCTGGTTATTATTTTATTTAAGCAGAGCAGAGAAGAGCTAGGAGAGAAACAGGCAACATCTTAAGACCTTTAATTGGATGATAAGAATAGATCATCTTTTATTTAAGACCTTGGATGAATCAATTGGCAATAACTAATTTTAGGTGGTTAGAGCAGGAGCTGCACTGCCATAGGCAGATTTATCTCCAGGAGTATAAATGAAATGTGATTGTTTATATCAATTGGGATTGGAAAGAGCTCCCCAACAGAGAATAGCTCAGATGTGGTTCTCATATCTCCCCTGAAGTGCCCTGCACTGGCCAGGGTAGAGCCAGCACACCAGGTGAGAGGATCTCTGAGCTCAGCCCCTCCTGATGTCCTTGCACGCAGGAGGCTTCATGTTTTAGAACACTCTGTCACGGACTCGATGACTTTGGCCCAGTACCTTCTGTTTATTGTTAATGAAAGTCAATAGAAGTGTGGAAAAGTACAAAATGTCAACCTATGACCTTGTGAAATCCATGGCAGGAGAGAGAAAAGAAAGACAACCCACCCTTTGGTACACGCTTTGTGCCTCCTGCTGTGTTGGGATCCAGAAGGAGAAACCTTTCCTCAGGACTGGGGCTCAGCAAGTCAAGAATTTTGTCTCTCTTTATTTTCATTACAGTTAGTTAAATCCTTGGGCTCCTGTTAACACTGAGCTCCAAGCTGATTTTTTGTTGAAATGCTGAAGCCTAATTTTCGTTTAACAATTTTCTGTTTGAGGCCAACATCAAATTAGTGTGTTTTCCACTGGCAGACCCCAGTAATTTGGTAGGCAGGAGGCTCACACATACTTAAGTTATTCAATACATTTTGTTATACTCTGTACAAAAACCTAGTCAGAAAAGCCTGATTTATGATATTCCTCAGGTTTCCTGTTACTTTAAACCACTAACATCCTATGGCCAAGCCCTTCATAGGCAGCCAGCACATCTGGCCCAGAGTGGTTCTGTCACCTATGGCCAAAATGCCATATTTATAATCAAGTCATCATAGAAAAGAAAGAATTGATTATGATGAAAAAGAAAAAAATGGAAATATAAAAAAGGCAAATTTATCGGTGGACATTTGTAAATATGATTGGGTGGGTTTTTTTCCAAACATACATCTCAGACAAAGGGGAGCCTGTAACACACTGAGCAGAATATTAGATATGTCCAATCAACCCTTCTGGCTTAATTAAAAATTACTGAAAGCTCTGATTTTCCCATTTCACATATTTTTGATGTCTATTTTGTGTTTCATTTATAGAGACAACCCACTCCTGGCTGAAGCCAGAGCTCCACAGTCCATGTGAAATCCCACCTGCAATTCTGCAACTGCTTGTAAAGAAGTGAGTCTGCTCCTCACAAAGTGTTTTTTAGCTGGTCTCCTCAGGGGGTTAAGGCTTATGCAGTCATTGTTTCTGTGTTGTATCTGTGTATCCATCTGTCAAATCTGATCAATGAGCCAAAGTCTCCCTAAATATTAACTTCCTACATGCTTCATAAGATAGTTAGAGGCAGAAATTTGGCTTATTGTCCTCCTTTAAGGGAAAGCTGGAGTGCATGTCCATGCTGTAAAAATCATGCGCAAATCCACAGGGCATGAAATTAGGCTCACAGCACAAATCCTTAATTTTTCTCATAAAACTGTGTGATTAAAAATTAACTTTATAAAAAAGGAGAGTGTAAAGACTTGCAATATTCAGGCTGGTACAGGCAGAAGTCAGGCAGTGGTTTGGGGGTGCCAGTACATATAAACTGGCATGAGCATGGATTTCAGCTGTGTGTACTCCTGAAGGGCACAGCCAGAGCTGGCTGTATTTTTTTCCTCTGGAAGATGCATTTCACAGGGATTCATTTTTTTCTAAGGGAGTTGTAAAAGAAACCTGTGGATGATAACGAACAGATTCTCAGCTGTGTCGGACCCTGGAGCGCTGCTATGGAAATGTGAAGAGCTGCAGAGGTTCAACCTCTTTGAAAATCTAATCACTGAATATTTCTAGTCAGCTTCCTCTGCCAAAGGAATATGAAATTTTCCAAGTCTGTGCCAAACTGTTCATGAACTGTTTCTCAAGAAGATTTGGATTATGTAACCAATAATCATGGAACACTTCTTCACTTTCTAAATTACATCTGGCTGAGATGAATTTTTACATGGAGAACACAACAAAAATGTGAAATACTATGTTTGTGCTAAACTGCAGTTATGACATATGAAAATCTCCATGGTAACATGGCATAACCTAAAGCAACTGTGTGTTCACACAAGAGAGATCCAACACCTTTGCCATTTTGTTCTTTATTATTCCTCACGGACACACTACTTTAAAGACTGAGGCAACTTCTCCATTCTCCAACCAAAGGTGCAACCCAGATTTATATCAGCTGTAATCCTTGGCAAAATAGTTATCAGTTAATTTCCTGCATAATGTCTCCAGAAACACACTGGAAGTGCAACCTGACTTTTTTTGATCTGGTTGACGAGAAGATCAACATGATGACCCAGCAACGTGCACTTGCAGGCCAGAAAGTCAAACATATCCTGGACTGCATCCAAAAGAATTGTGACCCGGAGATCAAGGGAGGGGATTCTCCCACTCTACCTCACTCTGATGAGACCCCAACTGCAGAGCTGCCTCCAGCTCTGGGGCCCCCAGCACAAAAAGGACATGAAGCTGCTGGAGCAACTTCAGAGAAGGCCACGAAGATGCTCCAAGAGCTGGACCCCCTCTGCTCTGAAGACAGGCTGGGAGAGCTGGGGATGTTCAGCCTGGGTAGGAGAAGGCTCCAGAGAGACCTTAAAGCCCCTTCCAATGCACAAAGGAGCTCCAGGAGAGCGGGAGAGGGACTTTGGACAAGGGCCTGGAGGGACAGGACAAGGGGTAGTGGCTTCCCACTGAGAGGGCATGGTTAGATGGGATATTGTGAAGGAATTCTGAGCTGTGAGGGTGGTGAGGCCCTGGCATAGGTTGCCCAGAGAAACTGTGTGTGCCCCATCCCTGCAAGTGTCCAAGGCCAGGTTGGACGGGACTTGGAGCAACCTGGAAGGTGTCCCTGCCCTTGTCAGGGAGATGGAACTGAATGAGCTTTAAAGTCCCTTCTAACCCACATTATTTATGGTTCTATACGCAGAAAATTATTTAAACACTTGTTCAACTTCAAGCAAACAATTAAACATGTCTTTGAGCTTCAGATTGTACCCGAGAGTTGTTAAAACAGGGCCTTGGGGGAAGCACCCACCTGGTTCATGTGTTCACTCAAGAAGATGATCTTTGCACGACCATCCAAGGACTGAGCAGCTCTCAGTGATAACAATACCTCTTGTTGCTTCTTTTGGCAAGAATTTTGCAAGTCTCTCTTGGAAGAATTAGATCACAGTCAGTCCCACCTTAACTACATATTTGCTCGCTGAATAAACAGGATGAAGTTGGCCCCATGGTCATGTCTGCTGGCAGAATTTAGCACTTCCAATCCTGTCAGGTTGGTTCCAAGGGTGCACAGCATCCAACCAGTCTCTTGCATCCCAGCTTTTACCCCCTGCCAAAATGTTATCCCAGCAAATGTTTTCAGTGCTCCCTTCCCCATCATTACAAGTAATGCACAACCAGAAAGATAAACTCATTCACATTTTAAAGAGCAGCATCAGCAATATTAATTGCACAATAAAAGAGCATTTGTTCCAAGTATTCAGCCAGTTATTTATTTGTGTACAGTTCTGAGTCATGCAACTTTAATTTGATGTTTAAAGCCTATTTTAACAAACAAGATTTTGTTTTATATGCAAAGTGCCTAATCAGGTGGGTTTTCTGAGCTATTTAAGTAGCTCTGAGAAATGCAAAGTCTGATGGATATTTCACTGCACTAAACAACTTTTCCCCATATGAACCAAAGCTTAATTGTTCCTTTATTACATGAAGATGCTCAAAACTCTGCTTTTGCCTTTCAGGGTTGTTTTGAAAAATAAAGAGCAAGTGTAAACAGAGGATCAAAATTAATTTGGAAGATAGGTGACTTCATGAAACAAGGTATTTCGGTTGTGCTTCCACAAGCAGTAGTACTTGTGCTGTGTGTTGATAATTCATTTAAAAGGGTATATTTGAGCTGAATTCCCTTTCTGTTATCTTCCAGTGTCCCAGTTCTCCACCTGTGAAACAGGGTTGTTTTATCTCTCTGTTTAGTAAAATACATGTTTAGAAGCAATAAGGTGCTCAGATACTGTTGTAAGGGAGCTGAAAAGAATCCAAAAATTCATTAATATAACAGGTTTTCGTTTAGCTCAGCAAGATGACAAAGAGTAGGTGGAATGAACTACTGCAGGACCCATATTACTAACTTTTATCTTGGGTTGCATGATCCCATAAATAGCTGGAGAAATAAGAAAGACAAAAAAATCTCAAATTAAGTGTTGCGGTAATGCCCAAACACACATTTCTAGCTATGAATTTCTAGGTGTGAATGAAGTTACAACAAAATTAATGGTGCCATTCATGGAGGTGGGAGGTCAAGAGATAATTTTGTATTCTCTGTACGTGCCCAAACCCGGCACTTCTATATCATTGGTAAATGTAGAGTGAACATTTAAACACAAACATGGATGTTGCACACTCATATTAAAAGTTACCCTTGGTTTTCGTTGGTAGAAGATTTGCTCGTAATGGAGAAGAGTAAAATTGATGAGGCCACATTGTTCTGGCTCCAGAGCTACTGAACTGAAAGGAAAAACTGGGAGAGAAACTCAACCTTCCAGCCAGACATGAATAACAGGAGCACGACAGTGACCACTTGAGCATATCAGGGTAAGAGGAACTTGACTCCAGGGTCTAAAGAGAGTCTTATCAGCAGTGAGGAGATAGAGGAGGATTAATGGTGTTTGAATACTTCCTGGCAATGACCTTTCTGCAGCCATTCCTTTGCTTTCAAGAGGGCTTTGGTTGCTCAAGAATAGCAGGGATTATTGTTTAGTTAACTGTGATTTTACTTCTTCCTTTTATCAAAGGATTTGAAAAAAAATCAGAGCTAATGGCAGATCTTGGATTGTCCATAGGGAGCATGTACAGACTGGGCACAAGGAAGCAGTGACTGTGCAAAGTTTTAAAGAATCAAATCAGGTTATTACGCCATTGATTTCCTGCCATTACAGCAATTAATCTGGCCCTTAGTGTTTGTGAAAGACTTTCATGAATCAAGGCTGTACACCAGTATTAATCAGAATGATATTACTTATTTGCAGGATTCTTTCACTTTGTCTTCATATGACATATCTATGTAAAAGATATGTCATATATGTGAAATCAAGGAACATGCAAGGAATTCCAGAAAATGTTGTATGTAATTAAAGATTTCTGACTAGAATCTGTGCATCCACCGGGACCATCATATAGCAGAGCAAATGTCAGCATCAGCCTCATCTTTAAAGACATTGTAGTGAGGTGGATTTTGGTCTGTTCTCCCAAATAACAACTGGAAATGGCCTCAAGTTGTGCCAGAGGAGATAAATTGGATATTAGGGAAAATTTCTTCGCTGAAAGGCTTATCAAGCATTGGAACAGGCTGTCCAGGGCAGTGCTTTGGTCACCATCCCTGAAGGGATTTATGACATGTAGATGTGGCACTTGGGGACACGGTTTAGTGGTGGCCTTGGCAGTGCTGGGGGAATGGTTGGACGCGATGATCTTAGAGGTCTTTTCCAATCTAAATGATTCCATGATTCTAAATTCTCAATTTTCCCCGCTTTTCTGACTTTATTATAGATATTTCTAGTACGCTTTTATTTCTTTCCTTTTTACTTTCAGTAACACCAGTAAAAAAAGAAAAAAAGCAGAAACGAAAAGTCTTCATTGGAAATATTTGAAATACTCTCCACTGGAAAAATAATATCCTGTAATAGATGGATAGTCATGTAAACACACCTCTGCCTAGCACAACAAAACCAGCCTGGATTCACAGGGATGACTTCAGATGGCATCGTGGGGAGGCAGGAGGAGTTTTGCAGGGGATTAATACACCAGATTTGAACTCTTAGGGATTACAGTTCCAGTTTGGGCTTCAGTTGGGAGGGAAAATAAGTATAATAATAGTGAGTTTCATTAGCATTCTTTACAAAAATCAACCACACAATTTAGTACATTGGCAGCCCTTTGGTAGATAAACTAAGGACTAGAATAATAAGGTTTACTGCAAGTTAGACTTGAGGTGTACTGGAAGGGAGGGAAGTTTGCACAAAGCCTGGCTGTACTGAGGACAGTGTTAAAAGTCTCTTTACCTTCACTTGCTCTGAATTCACTCATACATTTACAAACAACATGGTTTTAAATTCTTCTTAAAAATAAAAAAAGAAGGGAATACAAGAGACACAGACAGACAGGTTTTGAATTGTAAAATGTGTAACAAACCCCATTCTCAACAAGTTTTATTGCTGTTCAACTAAATCCCTCAAGTCTATCTTTAAATTAACTGAATTAGTAAACACGTAAAAGTAATCAGAGTATTGTCATTTAGATACTTCTTTGTCTGAAATACAGGAGCTTTATCTTGTGGTTGAATCATTCTAAATAACCTTTTACAAAGGACTAGTAAATCAAGGAGTTCATATTCATTGAGAAAATATATGAATATATGATCATAATATTTTCGGAGGTTTTTTTTCAATATCACGCTATTTTTTTCCCAATTAAACAACTTCAACATTTGAACTCAGCAAACTGGATTTCACAAGCATTTTGCAATAGAGTTTGCTGCACACCACATCTGAACAACTCAGGGGGAGTGTATGGATATAGGTATCGCCCCTCTCCTTCCCAAGGGAGTCTCAAATGAGCCAAATATTCAGCTGATGTAAATCAGTGTTGTTCCAGATCCTTTTGGACATGATATAGTGCATTAAATCAACAGCCAGACTTCCCCAACCAACTCCATCCCTGGTTGAAGCTGTAATTAAAGCCTGTGTTGCTCAGGAGTTCGTACCCGGCAGCCTCAGAGGATTAATTAGGGCTGATATTTATTTCTTTTGATACAAAACCCAGATGTGTGCAGTTAAGCCAAAAACCATAGGGAGAGCCATCCTGCTTTTTTTTTTTTTTTCAGAGGGCAGAAGAAAAGCAGCATTGCCCACCCAGAATTAAAGAACAGAAGCAAATAATTATCATCATGGAGCAATTTGGCAGCAGTGGGGTTTCATAATCTGCTAAGCCACTTTTACCTGCCTGATTATGAAATAATTCAGATGACCTCAGGTTTTTTTTTTGTTACCAAGTATTGAAAAAAAAAATATATATATATACATGTGTGTTGATTTATTTGTCTGAAAGCTGGGAAGAAAAATAGCTTGTGCTTCACCTTAAGTAAATGCTCTTTAATGTGTTATAAAAATACCTGTCCATCCAGTAAAGGATTTAACCTTAAAATTAATTATTAATATTGGAAAATAGGCAGTGAAAACAGTTTAAATCATGAGCAAGTAGTACCGCCCTTGATTCCCACAGCGGAAAGGACATCTCCAGCAGGAAAATGTAGTTCAGGTTTTATGCTTAGAAAGTTGTAGGATTCAGGGCATTTTATGTTGAGCTTTGTGCAGTGGGCACCCCTTTGACAATACTATTTCACTCAGAAAATTTCCCAAATTGGGTTGGAATCAGCTGATCTCACAAGATCCATGAAGAACTTTCATACAATATCAATTTGTGAAACATTTCTTTGTCAGCCTTTTTTTTAGAGTGGGAAAAATTATCCACATCCCTAGACATAATTTAGATTTTTTTCATTATTAAAAATAGCAGTAAAAAAAGAGTTTCCAACCTTCAAACATAACCCAATTTTGGGTGTGTGTACTTTATTCATACCCAGCCTGTACCTCTCCTTCTTTTCCAGTGATAGAATATAAGTAAAGCTATAGGAGTGGAGGTCACCCAAAAACAAATATTGAAATGAGTTATGGAAAGATCAGACCAGTAAGAAATTTCTCCCCTTATTTCAGTGTAAAGAAAAAACTGAACATATTCAAAGTAACATATGAATGCTCAATATTTTTTTCTAACAATTTCTATTTGTCCTTTCTTGTGTACCTTAGTATTGATTCCCAGTAATGAGGCTCCTGTTGATTTCACTGAGTTTTGTATTAAATTCCTGGGCATGACTTGAGCCCATGATCTAATGACAAAAAACTGGAGAGCCCATTCCTTTTCCCTGATGCAGTTTGCCAGTATATTATACTGGAGAGATGCAACATTTTTGCCCTCTGAATAATTCCTATAGAACTTTGAGGAGTCTCATTTTTCTCTCTTTCTCACTAATTGCATCAGTCGGTTTTACAGTGTCCTCTAATATTTTAGATTGTAAGAAAAAAAAAGGACTGGAAACCAGCACATCTACTTTTATTATTTTTTGGGGATGTTTCTGATATTTGGTTTTGGGGTAGACTGTCAAAAGCAGGCTTTTGCGTCGTTTCCTGGAGCATTTCCTCACTCCTTTGCAGCTCGTTAAGCTCCGATTTTTGTTTGTCTTGGGGGTTTTTCAGCCCATCTATGGGGCATCTCAGAGGTCTCCACAGCTCCAAATGTCAGCTGAAAAAACAAGCACTCTCTTTTTAGCTCCTGCAGTTGATGCAAGACGCATCAGGGCTCAGGGAAAAGGGGGAAAAAAGGGAAAACCCGCTGCATTTGGAGTTAGGAGCAACTGCTACCGGTGGGTGTCCTAGTCCTCCTCCCCTTCCAGGCTCTGGAGAACATCAGCCAAGGTGACCTCAGTGACAGTCCCTCTCTGCTCTCCCCAGGTCTCTGCTCTGCTTAATCCTGTCAGAAAAGTCTCCAGCAAACATTTGTAATTGCAGGCAGAAAGAACACTGCTGTCTTTATTTTTCCTAACTTGACATCTATCAAATTTAGTTTAAGTGTTCCCCTGGGTCAGACGAGTTGCTGAGCTATAAACTAAAAATAATTAAAATAAAATATTAAAAAAACCTCAAGCCCTGCTTGCCAGGAGCTATCGTTGGGAGTTAACAGCTCTCAATCATGAATTTCAGAGTTGGAGGAGCTGAAATAAGACAGGCGGGTTTAATGCAACAGAAAACTGAAATTATGTGATATTTTGATGCTGCAGGCTTGATTCTTGCACGTCAGGACAAAACTGGTTTCTGTAACAGGCACTGAGAATTTAAATGCATTTTTTTTATTTAATACTACAGTTAATATAAATTTTATAACAAAAAGGAAAGGCAGGAAAGGTAGAAAGAATCGTTCTGATGAATATTTCAGATAATCAAAACCTCACCCTGACAATTCCTCTAAGGCAGAAATCACCTTCTCATGCTATAAAAGATGACTCTGCCAATTTATTGACCCCCAGCTGACGGATCAGCTCTCCCCAAAATTGGAAATTCTAGTTACAATGACTTCAATTTTGGCTTAAACCCGAGCAGACAGACAGCATGTTCCCAGACTGGTCACATTCATAAATGTCATAAAAAACATACTTGTTCTATGACACGCACGAAATAAAATTCTCAAGCAAGACATCTCTAACCAGAAAGGCATGAAACAAAAATCTCCAACCACGTGACAGGGAACCGGGGCTGCTAAGAATGGTATTTTGACACTGGTGGAAGTAAAACCGAAATAAAACTTCTCCAGGCATAACTTGAACGTTGGGTTTATTATTTTTGTTGTTCTTAGAGCTCATAGAAACCATGTTGGGGAAGAGCGGGAAAAAAAAATAAAATCGGTCAAAACAACGGTCAAAATTTTTGTGTGAGTTGTTCCAGAGTGAATTTAAAGAGAAAAAAAAATAAGAATCACGTTCAAGG